GTAGTCCACCATCGAAAACAAACCTGTTTAAAGAAAGGAATATCAAGGAACTGGCCACGGGCCTTTACTTTAAAAAGAAATAATTTAAACAACTGATTTTCTTTACAAAACTCAGAACATAATCTTAAAATTGGTTGCGCACCATAAAATGGATCTTGATTTAATACTCAACACTTCCAAAAGCATTTGTTCGCAATTCAATGAAGTTCTAAAACCATTCAGTGCGATATTTTAATTTAAGGGTAGACTTACCTCCACGTGGTGCACCCTGAGCAACGTATACTCATACGGCAAAAAAGTCTATTAACTGGCAGTTGACTTCTCACTTCAATCTACCATCACCCCACTGCATGCCATATTCCAACACTTTCACAGTACTCATCTTTACTTTTTCTCTACCTTTGTGTCTGTCTATCTCTTTTGCATCTGTGAATCGCTCTTCGGTTCCCCACACCTCGACTTTCTGCTACTTTGATGAACCTTCCCTCTGTGAAGCCCGAAGTCAGCTAAATGGCTAATGATAGTTATCAAAACGCCTGCCATTTGAAATAAATACTTTAATTTAATGATTTCAAACATGCATGTCCCGTGGGCTACAGCTTTAGCCCAAAAAATTCTCAGGAAAATGAAAACCACCTAATTGAAATCTGAAATTTGTCCATAGCTGGATTTCGATATTCAATTAACACAAGCGATCAAACCATCAAACCTATTTCCATCCAGGGTACGCGTAGTTAATGTTCTTTGTGTTGCTATTTCATTTGTCAGCACCTGGGTAAACGCTTCACCNCCCACCACTTCCAAAACAGCACGATATATCAACCTTTCATGGTCATACACGCTCACGCTGTATGAGGCTCATAACCCTCACAGCTTTCATTAATAAACTAAGTCAACAAAAATTACCCACCTTTCCTTTGTCTCAAGGGAAATAAAAAATTCTCTGGAGAAGTTGGTTATAACTAGGCGCAATTTAATTAAGCCAAATCACCAATCTCTCTAGGTGATTATTAGTCGCGTTTCCAGCCCAAAAATTGCCTACCGCAGTGGTTATTGATCACCTCTCATTTTTTCCAATTGAGAAAATCAATAATAAAATCAGGCTTACTCTATGTTGTAAAACGCCGTTGTACAAAATGATAATCTAATTACTTTAAACTAATTCAAGTATCTGGTGCATTTTCCACGGTGTATAAAAACTAGTGGATTTTAGTGAAATAGAGCTTTAAGTTACTGTGACAAAATGGGCCTAACATCACCGTTAATTAAACATTTAAATCCATATTGCATAAGAATTCCCCCCTTGATCAAATCATCTGACCTATTTCGGTAATCACGATTATCTTGATTTAGTAAAAACGGTGAGAAATAGGTAAGTTTAGGTGCTAAGAGTTCTTGAAGCGGGATCAAATGGATACCATATTTAATTTTATCAGAATTTATTCACGTGAATAAAACAAATAAATTTACTCTGTTCTATTTTCCCGTAGTTCCAAATTGCACTTTTCTTTATGGAACACTAGAGGTACAAAAGTGGAGCGTAAATATTAAACTACTATTAACATAACATAAACATAGAAACCATCTACTTTTCATTTATCAATATTAACCACTAGGACTACTCCGTTTCGCCTAACTTTAATCGTCATAACTGAAAAGAAATATTAGTAGTTGGAGCGTTAATAATTCGCTCCAAGAAATAGTTGCACTGGCCTCCCAATTTCGCACACTAATAAACAAGCGACTTCTCTCAAGCCTTTGTTCAGATTCGTCGCTTTAAGTATTTCCTTTTCAAGGTCAGGCGTTAACCAATCGCGTCGGAGCACTGAAGTGCTAGGGCGTATCATTTAGAAGATGTTAAACCTCTAAATTTGCCTTAAATTGGATTTGAACTACTTGCATTTAGCTCATCAAGACATTTCGAGAAGTACCTTTTAAATATTCTTACTAAGAATGAGAACTAACTAAAAGGCCTTCATTTACTTTCGAAAAAAAGTGAGGTTACTAATATTGTCTTAAGTTGCATTGAGCTAAACGGAGCTCATGGACCTAGACTGAGTATCTTGGGGAAAGAACAGTGTTACAATGAGTTTAATTGTTATTAGCAGAAAGTTATCCGAAATAATGATTTTTGGTTGCTTGACCTTCACATCACATTTAAGTATTGGCCGATACCGAAATAGCCAATTATTGAATCATTCTCTGGGTGCTTCAAGGTTTTCAATGAAAAAGTCTTCAAAAGCGGACAGCTCTCCAGACACCCTGTCCTCGAATTACGTCCATATCCATGTGCTCGCATTCTCACCCAGTTTGTGAACCTTATGTTCTTTTAAACCTAATGAGTCTCTTACTCTCATATATCTTGTAAATGTTTATAGGGGTTGCAAATACTGATGATATTACGGTTGGTGCCCCTTAAATAGATAAATAGCTTAATATATATATACATATATTTCAGAGACCACGCGCTCGAAGTTACTAGTACCACCCACGCAATTTACTACTGGTCAAAGGTGAAGCAACATGAAGGGAGTTCCTCTTGCACAGCGTTCCACCACCTCTGGTCGTAACTTAAAATTACATTACGCTAGCTAATTGCTTGTAAAACGCATTGAGCTTCAATTTATTTCAGCCATTATTCATTCGTGTCATTCTCACTTTACTTTCCATGAAGAGGACGTCTTCCTTTGATTCTACCAATGCAATCATCAGTGCTTTATCCTCTGTTCCTATTCTTTTGCCCTCGAGATAAGGCATTCAATAATATTGATTCATTACTCTGCTCAGTTCAGGTTGTCAGACTATTAGCCACTCATCGGCAAATGACGGACGTAAGTTCGATCAACTTCCTAATAGCACCTTAATTCACACACACACGCTCGAGACTATACTGAGGTTCAAAAGTTGGTAGCTACTTCATCAAGAAAGCAAGCAGATCCGGCCCTAGTTTATACGAAAGAGTTTATTCAATATTAGGCTATTATTCAAAGGCTGAAACTAGGACTTGATTGAAACTTATCAGTGCAATTTAATGATTAAAACACCTATACTAATTGCATTAACCGTATAGGAAACATAAATGTTTAATTGTTCCTGTTAAATTGAACGATTAAAAGACCATAAAAATCTCATTTTCTTGTGCGCTAATATATTTTCTGCTCACTGAGTGCAACCCCTTGCTAAGGTTAATAATAATAGCATGACTAATACCGTGAAAGGAGTGTGGCTACTTCTAATCTCTAACTGGGTGTACTAACACGGTAAGCAAATCGCTCATTGTCTAACATGGCTACTTCAAAATCCCCAGGCCCTTTGAATAGAATCGCCTTCAGTAGTTAAGTTGCATCACTATTCCGCTTTCCCCTATTGAGCAGTATTAGTCAATATGGTCACTTGTTGATTCAACTGGAAGGTACCAACCCTTTCCGACACATCAATAATAAGTTATAGGAATGTGCCTAAAACTTTGCTTCACTAAAAGAGCAGGATTAAGGACATTTTAAGTGGTCAATATTTTGTGTCATAGTACTTAAATTACAGTATAAGAAGCTTATTAGCTGGTCATACGTCAAAAATGGTTGACATTTATTAGGTCCCAAAAGCAGTCCGACTCTCAACGACAGCTTTTCCCCAATCTTCACTGTGTGTTCTATCCTAAGTTAGTTTATTCTCAATGGTTGACAGGGGATATTGCTTTTAGTAGATTCTTTTCACGGACGAAAATTTACAGCCTCCATCTCAATGTTAAATACACACAAATACAGCGTAAACAACATTTTAGTAAATAAATCAGAGTACAAGGCCGTGCAATATAACACGACTGAGAGCATAAACAACATTCAAATCAACGCGAAAGAAGTATAATAAGACAATTCGGTAATTTATTTAGTGTGAGTCTTATATATTATGAAAGTCACGCTCTAAGCGTCTCATTTAGATTATATTTGGCGCCTACTTCAAAGCACCAGATCTAATGACACCGGCGTAGATATGAAATTCGAGTTGTGAGGTTAGGAACGGCTCTAGATGGTTGCCCTTTGTCTAAAATAAATGTAGACGACTACTTCCTTGAAATGGGACTGGGAATATTGATCTTTCAATATATATTTCCATGCAAATAAATAAACACTTTAATAGATCCCAAATTCGAATCATTGCTAACACATTGAATCATAAAATACAGACTCTTCAAGAGACAGCATTCAGTTCTTACCATCAAACAAGACACAATCAGACGAATTAAAAATTGTTACTACCATGAAATAACTTCAACCCTTGTCAGGGTTAGGACAGTACTCAGTTCAAGAGATAGCCGACAAATCCCCAGGCATACTTCAGCGAACCCCAGTAGCCAATACCTTAGTATTCTAATAAAAACACCAGCTAGTCATAACTCCTCACTAAAAGAGACTAAAAGTACACTCATTAAACCACAGACCACAACCATATACTCCCTCAACTACAACTACAACTACAACTAAAACCCCAACCCCACATTACCAATTGCCATAACAAATGGGCAATTAAGAGTGCGTTAAATCAGATTTGCGAGTTTCTGACCACACGCGCTTACAAAGACGGGCAATATACCCTCCGCGTAGACACAACTGCTTCTAAATGGAATTACCTATAAGACTATGCAAGGAAAACTACAGTGATACAAAAATGCGAAGACTAGAATCAGCAGCGACGTAGCACCTGGTTGGCAATCGATAATTAGGTAGCACCCACGGAACAAAATAAAAAGCAAGTCAGCGTTAGTTCACCAGTGCGACTTTATATTCAGTAGAAAAGGAGTCAGTGGTCTTGTTTACTGCTTTTAACGTCAGACAATATTTACACAACACGGGGCGGTAGTTTTCCTGGAAATATACAAGTACTATAAAGAGGATTGTGGTATCAATTATAAAGAAGACAGCATGTCAGTATGTTGTACGAAGTAAAGTAGATTTCTTTTGGGATTTCGAGGTAGTACTCAGATTTTTACAAGACTCACTCTGTTAGTGGGCTTCACTTCCTTCGTTGCTATCCCGGTTATCCCTGCTGTCGTCAAGGAAACGCCGTAGAATATAAGCACCTACAGGCTCGAAATAGGAAAAGGATTGAGGTAGAGAGGAATCTTGATCATGGGAAGAGGCAATTGTTTGATTTGGCAATGAGGAAGTATGGAATTCAGATTGAGATTGTGAAGTATCCGGCTGGAAGGAAAACGCAGTCGGTCGCAGAGTAGGATCCCATTTAGGAATGGAAACGGAAGGAGGACAACAAAATTCCCCACTGCCCGCAGGGTGCCTCCTTCTATTAACGGGAGGAATTAAATCATTAGTACTATCCACGAAGGAAGAAAGAAACCCAGATGCAGAGGATACAGATAGTTGGGATTCCGTTAGGAAGGAAAATGCAGGAGATGGAAGCAGGGCAGGATCCCGTTGCGGAACGGGCATTGAAGGTGGACTACAGAAAGTTCCGTCGCCTGCAGGACGTCGTTTTCTGTTAACAGGAGGTACCCAGTCATGATAACCATCCGCTAAGTCCGATGTGGACACATCACCAAAACCACTATCTGCATCATAATCATTTAGAAAGTCGCTGAACAGGAAGACCATCAGCACGGAAAGCGTGGGAAAAGAAATCTATGAAGTGCCGAGGACCCAGAACGTTTATTTATAGGCCTTTGCGTTTGTGCTTACTCTTCAAGGTCACCATCGCTATTGGCTCACGCGTTGTCATTCGACGTTGAATTACATTTGGATTGGTTGATTCAACAACCAATCAAATAATGGTGTGAGACTGCGTGCGTTCGTGGTTTTGCGCGTACTGCACTTTGTTGACTAATAGATAATATGGAATGGCAATTGTAAACAAACTTTTCCCTTTGTTCTCTTTACTTTACTCATCCGTTCACTTAACGCCACTTCTTTAATCGATAAGCATTAATTTGTTAATGGCGTAAGGAAACTGACTAAATCAATTGTGGCTATCTGTTTATTCTTTTATTGTTGTTTATTAACTAAGAATCATATCTGACCTAGTAATCATGTATCAGGGCTATTTATAAATTTTTAGCATATTTGTAAGTGAATTATAATAAAGAATAGAGTTCCTCTTTTAATCTAGCTCAATGAAAGCAAGGCAATTATATGATAAAGCTATTGTTTGGTGTATTTTCCATAGGATGCATGGAAGTCGCTATCGTAGGTCCTTCACGAATGTTTTATTCTCATAATCTCTCAGACTAATCTTGTTTATGGACATTCATAGTCCCACAACGGAATCCAGACAGACTCCAAATAGCGGACACTTTCACGTGTCGCACCATCTCATCTCGCACAGATTTCAACCAGCAAGTCGTGAAATTACAGTCCATTCACAGTTAGTCATCATCCTAAATATCGTAGCTCGCTTACACCTGGACTCATTCTTCTAATTACCATCGTATTTGTTCCGATTATGCATCTTAAAGACGAAAGAATAACTTCCCAAAGCTGAAACAATGAGACCATAAAACTTGCTTTACACATATTTCACTTTCCAAAATTCGGGTCAAGGATGTCAATATCCTTTTTCAGGAAATGGGTGGCAGACGAATTATTTTATTGCCCTTTCTGTGTTGATATTTCACCTGTCAGGTTTGAATTCTATCTTTACACAGTGGGAACAGATTCTCAGCAGTCCATATCTTTAGCATAAACCAGTATGACGTCAACTGGGAAGCTTCTAAACAAATTTGGATGAAATAGGTACTAAGTCCTATACATTTAGATATTTCTAATTCAAATTAAAATCATTCTGTGGGAAGAGTGGCGGAAGTATGGTCGCTATCCCAATACGCAATTACGCGAGCTTTTTCGATCGATTTTGCTAATAAGGCCTGAACGGGAATGTAGAGAGGTCAATGCCAGTGGGTCAAACTATTTACCAGTAATCTTATCATAAATATTCCCAAATGTCTTACGTTTAGTAGTAGTATATGAACAGAATATAGGTTAAAGAAGAGCTTTACTATTCACGTGATAAACTAAGAATCAGCTTACCACACGATGATCGGCCATGACACAATCCTTTGTATCTAAAAATTCACCATCCAGTTATTTATTATCCTGTGAAATTAATGTTAAATCCGTCTTTCATATAAGCAAACATGAATGTCATTACAAGGTCGGATCGGCTTCTTTTAACACAACATGATCTCTAGTTGGTCATAGAATAATATAGAAGTTTTTTATCTCCAGAGCTAATATTTGATGGAATGAAGGATATTTTACTTTGAATCGCAGGCCTTAATTGAGGGCCTGGGTTCAAATAAAATTATGCAGAATTCGCTTAACGAAAAATATTATCAAAAGGAATCTTGGTCTCTAATCCCCGCAATCACACAGACGTCCGAGTCCAATACTGCTTACCACCACTTTTCTTCATTCTAAGTATATCTTCTAGTCATGGAATTTAGGTTTATTTTTGTGTACTTCGTAATCCTGCTCTATTGCGATCAAGACAACCAGAAGTTCTATAAATAAAATAAATAGCTGTGCAATAGGAAACAAAATTTTGTTGATTTAGTAAGACCTAATGACCCCGAAGACTCTAGCTAGCATCTAACGTTTTCAAGAAGTAGAAGATGAAAAGTTCTTTATGCGTTTAGGTTATGGCGTGTTTGCACAGCTCAACTGAAATTCAGTAGAACATCAAAGGTGTTTCTGTGACTTTTAATAACTAAAAACTAGATCCATTGTCAATCTTAATTATGATTTAAATTTCATTGCGGAATCGAAATATGATAATATATAAAAAGACATTTTATTTTGCTTGCACTAGCAGTACCGAATTATTATTTGTTTCAACTTCGCATTGGATGAATGTATGTTAAAAAAGAATTAAGTAAGAGTTTAGAAAATAATAGGAAGGGGTTACAGAAACCCACAGTTTCATTCATTAAATTCCGTCATGCCTCGCCTTAGCAACTGCTTTCCAGACAGAAACACACTCTCTGGTCCACTAATTCAATTATCCCTTAGTTAGTTTTCCTTGCTTTTAATAGATTTAATTAAAGTAATGTTAACCAGATTGAAAGTTTGTTTTTTTTCAATTTGCAATAATGACTAGCCGTTTATCGATTTGTCCGTTTGCTGCGTCAGTACGAGTATTGATTTCTCAATTCGCACCTCGGCCCACCTTCGCAATTAATGCCATCAGATTTTCAGTTACTTGCTTTTACGAATTTATTCATGATCTGATTTCCTTCCTATCTTTGGCATTGATTTGGATAACAATAGTAGTACAAGCATCATAACCCATAATGGTCATATTTTATTAGGATATGAAGTGAACATATATGTTCCAATATTACGATGACAAAATAAAAATTGAATTCTACTTCCTTTGTTGCAATTCAGCTTACCTCATAATTCAACTCAACATAAAAGGGTTGGTGATTTAATAAAATTGCGTAAATTAGAATAAATAAATTGCTCAATGCGTTCCAAGTGTGTCCATTTATGTGGTACAAATAATACACCCGGAGTGATGTCGATTACACAAGAGAATTAAAGTATTCAGTCAGATTTTGTATTACCTCAAACCCTCTCAAACCCTTTTGAATTAGGAGACTTATTAAGACGCCTACTATCTCGAGTAATTGAAAACGATAGTGTGATAGGCTTTAAAACCGTGCCATGTGGATGAAGTCCACGAGAGGGCTATTACTCAGCAAAATAATGGTCCTCTCTGTTTCTATGCCGCCTCTCACGCAAATATGTTGAGAGGTCAGTTAAGTCATTAAAATGTGAGAGCTCACTTACCGGAAACAACTCTGCGGTAGTTAAGCGCTAGGAAGCACAAAAATTGGTTGAATGAGAAAAGATAATCAATTATTTAAAGTTTATTTAATAGTTTTTAAACAAATATTAAAGTTGTCTCATATTTTATCAGAGAGTGGGCTGTTGTAAAATATAAATTTTTTTGCGAAATTTCATGTAATTGCCGTATTTGTATATTTTAACTTCAAGTTGAAGAAGTTTTATCTCTTTAATGCTTGCAATTTCCTTTTAGATGGCACCTATAGATGACAATCAAAAGTTTGTGAATGAGCTTACGGAGAATTTCGACTTAATACAAAGCTGCATACTCATATCCCACTTGCCTGAACCATTATTTCCAAAGGGATCCGAAAATAGGGAGCTTGCTAATAAAACTGAGCTGAATATCATTTTACATCTTCATACCTTTTCTGTTAATAATAGTGTCTTTGAAGCCTATTGTTTCACAAGGCACGATTGCGTCTCCTAGGTTAAGCATCCACTGGTAAGACAAGGTCTTTAGTGTAGGAGTGAGGAGACCACGCGTTAAACAGGACCACAGAGGGGGTGGGTGGAAGGATGAAAGATTCGAAATAGGAGTGGGGAGGAAAGAAGGAGTCAGTACTGAGTGAAGACGCTCCAGGTTGTGAGGACTCACCAAGATGATTTATGATAAGGTGGTTGGCATATTCAGCATAGTTTGTTAGGTGATGTGTAAGTAACACTTACGACAGGGAGGTATGAGTCAGTGGATATGCGATGCATAGAGGGACTGAGCAGGCTTCTGAGTCGGTGTGCGAAGGCGTTGCAATCCCCATAGCTCGTTTAAACAATACGTTAATGAACATGTCTCGATTAATGAGATCTACTGCGTCACATGGATTTTACTTAAGTTATTACAGTGGCTAAATGATTTGGGGGTCCCATTTCCTGAGTCTTAACTCTTATTAATAATTCAACGATTTCCGGATGCAGCTTTTATACTTTGATATATTTAACAAGAATATACTAATATGGTCTCAAAGGAGAAATGGTGGCAGTGGTGATGAGAATTACTTCCAAAATAAAAAAATAAGGAATTACAGATATATCTTCTAATATTGATCCTTCAATGTCGTTTATTTCTGCGATGATTCGGGTTCGCTGGCTTAAAACTCGTAATCACCAGTTCGCTGGCAAATTATTTAATTCCATTTTGCAATTTTATTTCAGTTGAGAATCCATCATTCTTCGGATCGCGGTTTATTATTTGAGTGAATTGTTGTAAGTACTCAACCTTTGGATTTCTGATTTGATCTGTTCTTTAAGCACCTAAAAGTATCCCTAAATTTGACTTACTTTTATTTGAAACTGAGAGTTCATATTTCATACCTTGACCTTTATCTCTTGACTTTATTTTATACTTCTCTTAGTGAAATTTACCGTTGGTAGTTCTGCTTAATTAGTCAGTTGGTGTACATGAGTGTCATCTTATCAACCTTTCATTTCGGTCATAATGGAAATAAATGGTGCTAGGGGTGTAAGGGAATAGCTCTCAAGAGGCTTTAAAATTAATTGCTGCATACAGGAGGATGAGACAACAGTCATTTTGAAATCACTCCAATTGGAAGAAATTCTCCATGCAAAGAAAGGTTATTACACCTTTAAATGCGCATAAACAGAGTCGAGAGATTGTCCACTTCTAACTTACTATCCTCCTTAATTTGTGAAAATAACGGAACAATTATCTCGAGAGAGAGAGAGAGAGGGAGTACCGACGTGGCTCTAAAATTTGATATTAAATACTTCTTTGCTTATTTATTTGTCAGCCT